TGTTTGTGACAAAAATACAAACAAACTGAAGAAAAGGGAAGAATACTTATGTCAAACGAATAAGCATCCTCATTCATCCTGTCTTTTTTTTTGTGAAATCTACATTTTTTAGTTTCCAAGTTATGTGTTGTGGTCTTTCTTTTATGTATTGGATTATGAAATTTTGTGAAAAATCTGTAATTGTTGGAGAAAAATGGATATCACTTTCAGATTCAGTGTACAGGAATTATTGCAGAACACATAAAAATTTCAAGACTATAAAATCATCACAGGCTTGTGTAATCATTGTGAATTGAATCAGTAGAGAAGTTGAAGTTAAACTTTGACAGTGATTGAATCCAGATTTTCTTTAACAATCCTGTTACAAAGATATTAAAGAGAGATATATGGAAAACCTTATTCAAAAAATACTTAATGATTAAGTTTTAATTAATTATGATATGGCATTTTAAACAAAATAAACCCATGTGAATAAAAAGTGACTTAATGAAAAAAAAAAGTAGGTATATAACGTACCCGTGTTAGTATTAAAGCAGAAGGTTTAAAAGACATGTAGTATTGTTAAAAAGAGCTGTTGAGGAATTCATATGTTGTTTATTGGCTGCATCCTAAACAATCAATGTATTAATAATGGCTGGAGACGGCTTGAATGGGTAATGAAGAAAAGCAAATAACAGCAAATGTACAAATGATGACAAAACCTTGTCGAAACGTTGTACATTTGTTGTTATGTTAAACTTATATTAAAGTTTTTCTTCATTACCCATTCAAGCCGTCTCCAGCCATTATTAGTCTCAAAGTGGGTTCCTCGTCATCGAACTTGAATCAATGTATTACTTAACCAATTCCTTGAAAAACTGTTTTTCCAGATGTAATTATATTTTTGTTGAACAGTTATAGACACGTGAAGGATAAGCAATAACAAATGAAAATTATATAATTATTTTAGTGTTAGTAAATGTATAACACACACAGAATTGAAACAAAAGTATGTGTATGAACTGAGGGTGGTTAGTTTCTGGAATGAGTTGCCTTTGGATGTTTTAGAGGCAGTAAATTTAAGTGAGAATAAGAGAAATCTTGATAACTACATGAATGATAATGGCTGGCTTGAAGATTTTTATTTAAATTTATTTATTTAATAGTTTGAGTTTAGTTTAAAGGAAGGAACAGCCAAGATGGACCAATAGGTCCCTTGTTGTCCCTAAACATTATGTTATATTATAAATGTGAAAATAATAGATTTACATGTACTTTAAAGGTCAATACTTGGCCATACAAATAAATATAATACAATCAATGGTGGGCTATTCTCTAATGCCTACATATGGATTGCAATAGAAATATTTAAGGTAATTAACAAAATAGAATGATTTAGTGATCTCATTACTAAAGCTTTTAATTAACAAATAATGCAAATACTTGGTATCATTCTGTTTGGCCACATTCTTTCCAAAAATATTATCCCTCACTTTCCACATATGAAACACTAATATTTCAATCTTTCCTCAGAGTTATTCTCAATATAGGGGACAGATCTGGATATTTGGGAGAAATGTAGGGTGGGGGTTCACTAGTAAAGAAAGTAAAACTGCAAGGGATGCTGAAGAGAACAATCCAAAACCTCCAGAAAAGACTGCCCCCCATCCACAGGGTGCATCCACCAAGAAAACTACCAATAATTAAAGCCAAACTGGTGTAATCTAGGGCACTTTTAACATGGTTTAGGCTACTGTATTCCTGACTTGAAGCAGACATACTTGTATGTCTAAATAAGCTAAAATAAACCTTAAGAAAACTCAAAATTACTTTTTGTTTTAGACTTGTTAATAACAAGCTTAATTTCAGTATAAAAAAAAGGGGGATAACACAACCTAGTTTAGCATTAGTAAGTCATGCAATGCAATGAGACATACACTGCAATACTAAACTAACACAGACAACAGCATGATACTATTTATGGTAACAAACAACAAAGCACAATGTTGGAGAGGTTCATATGTAATTGATGAGCCCCACCCTCAAATATGACACTAATCAACACCACTTTCGCTTGCAATCTGGTTATAATGGGTAATAAAAACTTCAAACTTTCTTTAAACAACTTGATAGTAAACCATAAATGTTGCATTTTCATTTATAAAATAATATTTGATCTAACCTGTCATCAAATATAAATTAGATAAGTATCCTGAGATAAAATAACACAATTACGGACTATGACCTCGTTAAAATATACTAATAATTGGCATAGCAAAGCAGTATCATTTGTGTGTAAATTCTAAGGCAGTGGAAGAAAAGACCCACATTTTCTGTAAGTTTCCTAGAATTTGGGATAATTCAAGTTCTAAGGCAGTGGAAGAAAAGACCCACATTTTCTGTAAGTTTCCTAGGATTTGGGATAATTCAAGTTCTAAGGCAGTGGAAGAAGAGACCCACATTTTCTGTAAGTTTCCTAGGATTTGGGATAATTCAAGTTCTAAGGCAGTGGAAGAAAAGACCCACATTTTCTGTAAGTTTCCTAGGATTTGGGATAATTCAAGTTCTAAGGCAGTGGAAGAAGAGACCCACAATTTTCTGAAAGTTTCCTAGGACTTAGGATAATTCATTAATTTTCCCTAACTTTTCATCCTGTTTTTAAATTCGTTGACTCTCAGGTTTTCCAGGTTTGTAGCCACCATGTGCACATAAAGTAAACGAAATGTTACAATAAAATATTACAGACAATACACACCTCCTTTTTTATTAAAGATAAAAAATCACATGAACTGAGATTCAAGAACATTGAATCAAAATCTTTTAAAGATTTCCACGCTAGCCACATCTGAGTTTCATGGCTGAAGAAACAAACAACAATCATTAAACATTGTTTAACCCATTAAAATTCATCATTATTAGATCATATTCATAAACTTTTGTGTATTGGCATGCCCGAAGAAAATGTATAGTTTGTAAAAAAAAATATTTTAAAATCATAATAGATGGCATAACAAAAGTTTATAGAAATTAAAAAAATATTTTTTTTTATTCACATTGCTTTGTGGATTAATAAATTTCTTGTTTTGTTCCTAATTATCAACTCTTATTATCAAATATGAAAATTGGGCAATTAATTCATTTACCTATGAGGACTGATAACAATGATTAGCATCATGTAAAATAACCAGTGAATTTAAATTACGATTAAATCAACTGTCACGAAAATAAGCAACTAATTGAAATAACAATTTCCAATTTTAACCATTTTTCATTATTCCAATTATCTAGATAATATTACTATTATGATTTTTCATTATCATTTTCAATTAGTTTAACTTAATTGAGTAATATCATGATTTATTAAAATAATCAACTAATTAAAATTAGGGTTTTTCTTAATTCAAACCATCCAAGTAATCGAAATATTAACATTCTCATTATTATGCTTTTCAATTAATTAGTTTTTTCAGCTTTGCACTGGCATGGTGGTAATTAGATTGAGTAATGGAAAAACTACCCGGGCTATCTGTCACTACTGTTGAACTACCAACCAAAGGGAAGACAACCAGCCTACAGCATCCACTACCAACTCTTGGGTTAATCTTTTAATATGAATAGTGAGACTGACCATCACTATTGACTGTGACATTATAATACCCTTACAGCTGAAAGGGCAAACATGTTTGGTGGCACTGGGTATCAAATCCATGATCATTAATTCATGTCACAACCACCAGGTTATACCCACCTGGAGAATATATTGCTTACTTATTATATGCTACATATGTGCTCAGTGTTATATAGCTTACGACATGCATGCAATAAAAGGGGTGATCTAGAGGGGCTCAAGCCCTTCTCTTAGCTATAAACTTTTAAAATTTGTGCAAAAAATATATTGAGAAAATTCATAATTAGACAGCTGAATACTTATGTCTAGTCCTAGTCTGAACTGCTTTAAAACAATGAAAAAACTTTTAGTTGCTCAGCAACAATTATAATATACACTTCATATCAGTCTTTCAACTATACATACTCTTTATTGGCATACCTATGCATGTAAAGAGTAATACTGACATAATAATGCTTAGAGACGGCTTGAATGGGTAATGAAGAAAAACTTTAACATAACAGCAAATGTACAACACTTCGACAAGGTTGGTACCTGATGATGACACAATGTTGTTGAAACATTGTACATTTGTTGTTATGTTAAACTTATATTAAAGTTTTCTTCATTACCCATTCAAGCCATCTCTAAGCATTATTATGTCAGTATTACTCTT